AAAAAGATTTCAAATAATTAATTAGTAATAAAACTTCTTAAATAAATTTTAAATTTAAACATTTAATGTTAAATTTTAGTATTATATAAATTTTAAATTAATTTAATAAACTCTCGATTTTATCGATTCAATTTTACGATTCTGATTTTACCTCACTAAAACGATTTTACCTAAATTCTTGATTTTGACAACCTTGATTAAGACTATTAATTTTTTAGGATAGTTCAATTTACTAAGAGTTTAAAATTTTAAATTAAAAATATCAATTTTAAATTTTAAATCTTATGAGAGAGAATTAAAAAATATGTCTAGTTTTATATAACTAATTATTAAATATACTACAAAATTAAGGCTACTCTAAAATATTATTTCTTTAATTAGATAATTTTTTTTATATGCCTTCGAATTACAAGTTTATAAAAGTAAAGTTAATTATAATAACAGGTAGAATTGTAAAAAAAAAAATAATATCATTTTCACATTATTGAAAGTTCGGTAATATGCGTAATGATTAGGTCGTAGCTATTTCACCATTTCAAATTCATGGAGGTTAAAAAATGAAGGCAAATTCATGCACATGTTGACATGGTAGTCAGTCGCCTGGCAATAAAGGAAAGGGCAAATTGTCAAGTCTTTTTGCCATTTTGTGCCAGTAGTCGGTGGGTGACAACGAGAATGATTTAGAAATAATTTTTAGATTTATTTAATTTGTGTTTTAAGATATAAATTAAAATTTATTAAATATATTTTTTTATTAAAAATTTATATTAAAAAATAAAAATCAACTTTTAATTTATTAATTATTTAATAAAACTTATATGACATTAAAATTAATATCAATTTTTACATTTTTTATACATATTTATTAAAAAAACTCTTAACTTATACTCTTAAAAAAATTCATAATTTTTATATTATTTTTTAGTATAATTTTATGAATTAATTAAATAAATAATTATTTTTATTTATTTAAAATTTATATTAATATCAATTTTTACATTTTTTATACATATTTATT